ATTTTCTTATGTCGAATTGAAAAAAACTATGCTTTTTTTTAATATTATTGAACTTATTGTGATTGTATTGATGTGTTAAAAAAAGTATTACATATGAGAAAGTTGACAAATTAAGAAAAGTATACTTTATAAATTGTAATGACATTATGTTGTTTTGATGCAATACTTTTTATATACTTTATAAATTGTAATGACAAATAGATGAGAATATTTAGATCTTTTATAAGTATTTATTATGTTGTTTTTGTTGCATAATTTTTTGTTTAAATAAATTTTATATATTAAAATCATTATATATGATTACGATTTTATCATCAAAATTATATTAAAAATAAGGACGTTATTCAAAAAAAAAATATTCAATATCATTTCAAAACTTTGTTGTTTGGGTTAATGTTGAGTTGATTTTTTAGAGATATTGAAGAAAACGGTTTGGGAGATATGTGGAAGAAACCAAATTCTTGAAGAATAATGGTGTGAATATTGTGGTTGATTTTTAAGAGATGTGGAATGTTTTGTTCATTTAATTGTATTAAATGAATAAAATATTAAATGAGAATTAGTGTATTACTAATTTGAGGTTAAAAATATGTCAAATAAAGAGAATTTAGGTACATATTAGTTATTAATAAAAAATATATAAGATGGGATATATATTATGTTATTACTAATTTGTCATTAAAAATATACCAAAGTAAGGGTATATTAGTTAGTTCTTTCTTTTACAAAAACACTCGTCCTTTTATAGTAGTATTTTGAGTTACCATTTTAGTTAGCACAACAATTAGACATAGAATATAATAAAATATTTGGACTAAATATTACATAAGATTATTTTGTAGATATTGTTTACAAGAACCAATTTGTTTTGGTGGACTTATGTGGAAGAGTTATTTTTTTTCAAATAGCTACTTAGTTAAGAGAATCATAACGATTTCTTCAAAGACCACCTCAATCTCCATCATTTTTAGTAAAATTTAGAATTATTTGAGTCATACTTTGGGCGTGTATCGTAATAGTTTTCAATGTTACGCTGTTATTTATTTAATTAAATATTAGTGATTACCAAAAAAATAAGATTTGAAGAGTATTAGTGTATTACTAATTTACCATTAAAATTAAGTCAAAGTAAGGGTTTTTTAGGTAGTTCATTTGTTAATTAAAAATATAAAATAAGATGGATATTACTGTATTACTAATTTGCCATTAAAAATATATCAAAGTAAGGGTTTTGTAGGCAGATCATTATTTTTACAAAATCACTCGTCCTTTTATAATAGTATAGATAATAGTTTTATAATTGATTCTTGGTTGATCAATTTGGCATAAACAATTGTACAATTGGTATATTTTAACTTGAGTGGTTAACAATTACACATCTAGTGAATTTCATTCTTTGTCTCTCAAAGGATCATTGAAATGAAAATTTCAAGCCAGTTATCTCACAAATTCGTGTTACATCTCAGATTAATCAGCCAAACGTATAAAATTTCAAACTAGTTATATTGCAAATTCGTGTTACACCTCATAGTAACCTACAAAACTCATTATGGTGGGGCACTCTAATGTTCGATTTCAACAATTGGAATAAAAAGGCTAAAATTCAATGTAGTCATTGTAGCAATATTGTTGGATGTCCAAGTAAAAATATGAATCAAGATCTTATATTTATACTAATTAATATTTGTAATCCAACAGAGTTTTTTCAATTAAAAAAAACAAAAGTTATCAAACTCAAACAACACGGACTGTTTATTCATGAACTCCCTTCATATGGCCATTTTCAAAAATTTTCGATAATATTTTATAAAACGAAGTAAGTCGAGCTTACAATTAGACCTGTTTTATTCAACAACCAAAATATAATAGTAATATTATTAAGAGGCAATGCTTAACTGTCATACAACCACATTTTTTTTTAGTAAATATTCATCTTTTTCCTGGTCTAGTAGCTAGACCACCTCATAGCTGTGATTTACAATTTATCAATTACTTAAATTTTCTACAATAAATTCATTTGGTTTGTCGACTAATTAACTCAATCGCTATTCACCGCCCCCTTATTACTACTCACCACCCTCCCCTT